ATACCTATATGAGGTTCCACAGTTTAGGGTTCTTGCAATAGAGTGCACTATGAGGACACAGTTTCTATGCTATCTTACATGAGTGGTTGAGTAAGCTCATTCCCTTTTCCTAGGACGGTAGTTAAAAGAGAATTGGGGACCAGCATAATGACTATGTCGCTGGATTCCCATGTAGTCGACCACGGTTCACGTCCTGGACCCAGTAGCTTAAAACTCACGCCAGGTGCGTGTGCGTGCGTGCCCAAGATCCCGAGAGGAGAATGGAGGAGAAGGGATTGCGGCGTGGCCATCCCCCCTAGGGGGTGATTTCTCACTTTCTGTCTCTCTGTCTCTTTCTGTCTGGCAAGTGCTCTCGCCCTATAGCGAAAAACCTCTCAAAAAAAAAAAAAAAAGAGAGAATTCACAGGGCTGGCAAGTGGCATAGTGATTGAGGTGCTGAACCTCCACATGGTCGACTGTGGTTCCAGTCCAGTCCCTGGCGGCTTGCTTTCTCGCTTTTTCTCTGCTAAAACAATTCTTAAAAAAAAAAAAAAAGGATTCACAGGTGAAGGGGTACACTTTCTAGAATAGAGAAGCAACTTTGCGCTGCAGTGTCCTATGTCCTAATTATTTGGGCTGGCTTAGAAGTGGTCAAGGTGATAGAGTGGTTAGCAACTCTGAAAACGACTTGTCAGAACATCTAAGGACCATCAGCTGGTGTGAATAAAGCTAGCGATCGTTTACACGGAGGACGCTATCGAAGACAGCCACTCTTAGGCTTTTTTTGGTGATTGTTTAACTTAATTTTTTCTTTACAGTCTCTCAATGGCAAGGTTTGGCGCTTGCCTTTTGGAGTGGACTAGAAAATTGGGAATTATAAGACATGGACTAAAGAGGATTTCATTATACATGATCAAGTTATAGCAACTGAACCTGTGTTGACTGACAAGAAAATATTCTGAGACATAGATTCAGCCTCCAAATATACAGTTATGGACACATTTCCTTATGTACAAAGAGCACTCAAATAAAGAATGATAATTTGATATCCCTGAAGGTCTGTATAAGTTTTTAAAACATTGGCTTCATGTGGAAGTGAAGAGAGAAGGAATCGAACTCACAATGTCATCCTCCCAGGTGAAACACCCAGTCATCCTGGAGCACTTACACAGCTTGTGCTAGGAAGGCTCACTAGCCACCATCCCAGCGCATTTGTCCATATCAACAGTTGGCAGTTTGCATTCTGATGGAGATTTATTTCAGAAGACTGATTATTTGCCATCTCTAGGGATATGGAGAAGTGACACAGAACAAGAAAAGTTTCTTGTGTGATGAATTGGGCAGGAAATGCCTAGATCAGTGTCCCCTCAGCACCCTGATAGGAAGCTGTCATTAGAAGAGACCCATGAAGACCCTAAATGCTGAGGGGAAATGTTTGAGAGGACTGACAGGGGGGCTGGAAGTCCTCAGAACTCAAACCACACACACACACACACACACACACACACAAAGTATTGAGGTCCCAGAGTTTATGTGGACCCAATCTCACAGGAATCATCTCATTTCTGAATCCTAACCTGTTACTCTTAAAAACATTTCCTCAAATTTAAACTTGGTGCCGTGGGGAAAACCAGGGTGAATTGTGAGTTGTGGTAGAGTGTGTGTGTGTGCATGTGTGTATTTGCATTCAGTAATTTTTATAAAATTCCCACTTGTTTTTACAGCCCTATCTATAGCTTAAGAATATTGTAAGGCCAGCCAGGTAGAGCAATGGTTAAGGTGGCTAGATCCAGCATGGCCAACTGCACAGTTCAAGTCCCAGATCCAGTGGTTTGAGAAACGTGCTGGACATGGATGCATGCCCAGAATCCTGTGGAAGGAAAAGAGATTGCAGCATGGTCATCCCCCATGTTAATTTCTCACTTTCCCTCTCTTGCTCTTTCTCAGTCTCTCTAATGAGTGCACACACCCTCTCGAAAAAAATAATTCATATATATATACACATTTTTTCAAGGAAACTTAGTGTTATGGGCGATGGCAGGTAGAAGTTAGGTAGATGTCATGTCTTGCAGTGTACACAAGGATTGCACAGACAGGAGTTTTGGCAGCAGCCTTGTTCCCAAGACATTGCACTTCCTGGGGCTCAGGAGCTGTGAGGTCTGCAGTGCCTTCCAGCTCAGTCCTGACTTCTGAAAGGTCAGGGCCTTCACTGCCTGTGTTCTTACAGACTCCCCAACAGTTTTAAGGTATAATTCTCTTTAATAGACTCAGTTCTGCTTAAAATGTCTGCAGGGATTTCTCTGTCCTGACTGAACTGTGATGGCACACTGGCTCCTCTCCATTTACTGTCACCAAGGAGACCTCATTTAGGTGCCTTCAGAAATTCCCCCCAACGCACAGGAAGCTAGAGTTTGGGACAGAACAGGAAACAATGAGCACTGTCCAAATTGGAACTTCTCTCCTATCACGAAGAAAGGGAACTGAAAGTCTTTTCTGAAGTCTCCCAAATTTAGTAATGCTCAAGATGAACCAATCAGTGTCTTAGGGTTAAACAATATCATAAGTTGCTGAGTAACACTTTGGATTAAAGGTGCTACTATAACACGTAAAATCTCTTCAAATTTTCCATATATTTCTTATGAATCTGTTAGGTAAGTGTGTGTCTATGTGTGTGTGTGTGTTGGAGGAAGGAGTCACTTATTTATTTACTTATATATTTTTAGACAGGATCTCTCCTGTTGCAATCCTCTGTCTCAGCATCCTGAGTTGCTGGGACCACAGGCTCCTACCACCACACCCAGCTATTCGGCCAATTTCAATATGTTACCCATGCTAGCTGAACACTCACAATCCTCCTTCCTCAGCTTCCCAAGTAGCTGGAGGTACAGGGCTGCTCTGCTGAGCCCAATTTTTTAATGATAGGCTGGGAATCAAACACAAGCCTCCCATTTAGCCCCAGCAGGGCAAGCAGCAGCATCCGACATGTGCTACTTTGGCTGGGCCAGGAAACACCTTTAAGAACAAGGTATTCATGGCAGTCAACGAAGGGTAGACAGAGAAAAGGCATACTCAGCTTTGACCTTGAAAGAGCCCAGCCTTTCAATGGCATAGGCTGTCAGCACAGGGTGATACTGTGGAAGTCTCATCCGGCCCATTTCTCTACCTCTAGGAAAGGGAATCCTGGATGGTTTTAGGGCAAAACTTCTCTGTGTGTCTCATCTTAGTGATCTAGTAGTTAACGTCAGAGACCGTTTAAAGCCTTAAACGTAATCGGATCATCGGTGATGTGAAGGGTGTGTGTCCACATGATTTGTGAGGCAGGCTGGCTTTGGCACAGCAGTATGGAAAATCCACGCCACGTAGTTGTGTCGAGACCAATATTAGACGATGCGCTCACCACCTGTTGATCGAGCTATTCTTGTTCACTGCATGTGTTTGCACTCCAATCCTTCCTCTGTGTGGTTTAACATTTTCCCTTTCTATTGCACATTTTCAGAAACAGGAGAATCAGAGACTTTTGATTTTTAGTGTTCTATAAAAAGAACATAAAAATACAGTTTTTTGGATTTGAACTTTAATCCATAATCTTATGACAGGAGAAAAACTCATAATCTTAGGACATGAGGGCAGGAATAATAAAGCCCTCTTGTGGGTTATCTCCTGTGTTTCTGATAAAATACGCTCCGTCCATATTATTCAGCCATATTTATGGACCGGACTCATCCAATGGTGCATATGATGCATGTCCCAAAAACAGTCCTCATGAATCTCTCATCATATTCAAGGTAGGAATTAGAAGGTGTTCCCTGTATATCCACTTTCCGGTAACCACTACTCATGTTCCAAGGCATTACTTTCCATCCAATCCCAAAGTGAAAAGTCAGTTTCTCCTCCAATGTTTTTGAAATACAGCTCAATGCCAGGGATCCCAAGAGCCTGGGCTGAGTCACTCACCATGGGGCCTAAGACACCTGAGAGAAGTGTGAAGTGATACGATGCCTCTTAAATAAAGCAATTGCCCAGTGCTGTCAAAATTCAGACATTCCGGGACCAGCAGTTAGTGTAAAGGCTATGTCACTGGACTCCCACATAGTCGACTGCAGTTCGAGTCCCGGACCTGGTGGCTTAAACTCACGCCGGGCGTGTGTGCGTACGTGCCCAAGATCCTGAGAGGAGGATGGAGGAGAAGGGATTGCGGCATGGCCATCCCCGCTGGGGGGTGATTTCTCATTTTCTGTCTCTCTGTCTCTCTCTGTCTGTCTGGCGAGCGCACATGCCCTATAGCAAAAACCTCTCCAAAAAAAAAAAAAAGAAAAAAAAATTTAGGCATTCCCTTTGACCTGATGATTTACTTTCTTTTTTTTCTTTTTCTTTCTTTCTCTCTCTCTCTCTTTTTTTTTTTTTTCTTGGAGAGGTTTTTGCTATAGGGCGCGTGCGCTCACCAGACAGACAGAGAGAGACAGAGAGACAGAAAGTGAAAAATCACCCCCCAGGGGGGATGGCCATGCCATCCCTTCTCCTCCATTTTCCTCTCAGGATCTTGGGCACACACGCACATGAGTCTGGCGTCAGTTTAAGTCACCGGGTCCATGACTCAAACCGTGGTTGACTACATGGGAGTCCAGTGACAGAACCATTACACCAACTGCTGGTCCCCTATTTACTTTCTTTTTATGGGATCACCTGTCCCTTAAACTCTCCAGATGTCACAGCACAGAAGCAAGCTCTGTACTTTCATTTATTCTGTTCTTACTAATGTACTTTAAGTGTAAACTTTTCTATAACTTGAATTGAAATGGAGTCTATGAGTGATTGCCCGCAATTCTTAAAAACTTAAATTTCCTGTTTTGTTTATATGATTAAGAACTTCAGTGAATTAAGTAGTGTCTCCTTTACTGGACCTTTTATGAGAACCCTTCCCCTAGCAACAAATGTGTCATCGCAAAAGATTTTTCTGATTGGCTGCAGCTCAACTAATTTGAATTTTAATCATGTCAGATTCTATCACGCCCACCCACTCCCCAACTTTCTTTTCTTTTATTCTTCTCTCTGTCTCACTTTGGGGTTCTACTGAGCTCCATCAAAGCACCTAAGAAGAAGATGGTTATAAGAGGAGTCTTGGTGCTGGAATTATTCATCATAGGTGTTCTGATCCCTCAGGAATCATGGGCTATCAAAGGTAGGTGCTAAGAGAATCAAAACTACAAACAATAAGTTATAAGAGAGAGCATTGAGGAAATGAACTGTGGGCATTTGCAAGACAATCTTTGGAGAAAAGAGTAACAAGTATTATATGGGTCTAAATCTAAATGTATGATAAATTATAGTTTGGAGGAATTCTTTGCTCTCCATAAATTAAAGTAATTCAAATTTAGTTTATAGGAACCAAACCATGTTGTATATTGATCAATGCTATTGACTTAAAATAAGCCAAACTTGGGGAGAAATATTTTCTGACAGACATTAATAAGTTATATCTCTGCGCTTATTTTTTCTTTCTGAAAAATTAGTAAAGAATTCAAAACCTCACGTAATTTTGTTAGGATTATATGAAAAAATATAACAAGTTATTAGCACTACTTTTAGCTGAATGCATGATAATTAAATTTGGCATTTAAATATTGTCAGCATATTTTGAGCACAAACATTGAATTGGAGATGACTAGAAAGAAAAGTTGTCAAAAAGTAACAATCTATCCAGGAAGGGGGTTTGGATAGGTATATTGATATAAATTACATTTAATTTATTGCTTTTGGGAAAGTGATAACCATCCCAAACCCCACCTTCATTTTATAGTAGATCTTTGCTCAGTATTACTTAGTAATATTTCCAAGAAAGGAAAAATATGAAAAGTGAAGAGTCTGATATTATTCTCAGTAAATGTTTGTGTCGTTATAAACACGTATTGTGAGGGACCAGCAGATGGCATAATGGCTATGTTGCTGGACTCCCATATAGTCGACTGCAGTTCAAGTCCCGCACCCAGTGGCTTAAATTCATACTGGGTGCGTGTGCATGTGTGCCCAGGATCTTTAGAGGAGAATGGAGGAGAAGGGATTGCAGCATAGCCATCCCCCCGAGGGGTGATTTCTCACTTTCTGTCTCTCTCTCTCTGTGTGTCTTTCTGGGAAGTGCACATGTCTTATAGCAAAAACCTCTCCAAAAAAAAAAAAATGTATTGTGAAAAAAGTATTCTTCACCCCATGAAATGGGGGCAGGTGGACTGGAAATAAACAAATGGACAACCCAGCTCCCAGACCCATAATGCCTAATGGTCTTTGGTAGATTTCTTTTTCTTTTCTTTTCTTTTTTTTTTTTTTTTGGTGAGTTCTTTTCCATCGGGATCCATAGGGCAATAGGGCACTTGTGCTCACCAGACAGAGAGAGACAGAGAGACAGAAAGTGAGAAATCACCCCCCAGGGGGGATGGCCACGCTGTAATCCCTTCTCCTCCATTACTCCTCTCGGGATCTTGGGCATGCACGCACACGCACCCGACATGAGTTTTAAGCCACCGGGTTCAGGACGCGAACCGCGGTCGACTACGTGGGAGTCCAGCCATTACACTAACTGCTGGTCCCAAGGTCTTTGTTAGATTTTTATAGCCTAGAAAGAACCAAATATGGGAATCCTAATCTGGAAAAATAGAGGCTCTTCTCTTGGACTGGAAAGGGACAGCTAGAATATGTGTGTGTGTGTGTGTGTGTGTGCGCACGCACATGTGTGTGTGGGCATGTATACACATAGATACAAATGCCAAATAAATTCCTAGGTTTCTCAATATAATCAAACATTACAATCCCTCACCTTGTTTCTGAAGACTAAGCAGAAAACAATTCCTTGCTCATCTACAAACACCACAGATGCTGCGTACTTTCTGAATGTAGCTTCCTGTATTCCCACGATGTTGGCTATTCATAGTATTAATAGACTGTGTTCCATAACCACAGTACCAATCTAAGAACCATTAAGATAAAAGTTTACTGAGTTGCCAAGGTCAGTCTGAACATGACCCTTCTCACAGAAGTATCTGCAGAATGGGTTTGGGTCCAAGGATCCACACCACGGCACTGCGTGCTCTCAGACTTAATTCCCTGAGTGTCTCGGATTAGTTATATTTTTCCTAGATCTGCTCCTTAAATAGAAAGCAGTTTATGACTCTAAAAGACGAATAATGTTAGGATAGTCCTGATGATACAGGGTTCTCTAGGGAGACACTAGGATATGTCTAGATATATAAAGAGGAATTTATTGGGGGAATCAGCTCATGGGATCATGGCAGCTGAGAAGTTTCAAACCAGGCCATCTGCAAGATGGAGACTGGGATTCTCAGAGCATGGTCCAAAAGCTTCAGAAGCAGGGAAGCTGATGATGTAACTCACAGTCCAGCTGTGATGTAAATCATAGTGAGGCTGAAAACCTGAGCACCTGGGGGTTGTTGATATAAATCCCAGGGTCCAAAGGCAGATGAGCCTTGGGTTCTGCTGTCCAAGGCAACAGAAGTGTGTCTTGCTCTCTCTCAAAAGAGACTCGTTTGTCTTGTGCATGTATTCTGTCTGGTCCTCTCGATTTCATAGTGCCCACCCACACTGAGGGAGGATCTTCCACATCCAGACTACTCAGACTCACGTGTTAATCCCTTCAAGAAACAGCCCCATAGACATATCCAGAATAATGGTTTATCTGTTTTCTAGGGATTCTTTAGTCTAGTCAAGGTGCCACCGAAAACTAAACATTGCATACACTAAGAAATTACCTTATCATTTAATTGTACAAGCAAATCCATGGTAAACTCAAAATTACTGAACTATACTAGGGAAATTACTTGTAAGCAAGTAGAACAATCTGCTCAAAAACACTAGGTAAATAGCTGAATAACAATTCTGCATTTTATTTGCTTCCAAACCTAATCTTTCAAACAGTGTTTTTCTCTTCTTAGGAACCACACTCTGAGATAGAAATGCCCTGGAATTCTGGCCTGAGAGTATTTAAGGGCTTGGTAGAGAGTGAGAGAACATTGCTTTTTAAGACTGTTGGATTTCTAAAATGTGAATAATTTCTCAACGGAGCCCAACTTCAGAAGACTAGGCTTTTCAGCCCTCTCCAACCCACTTTCTCTAACACTGCTCCTCTTATTTCTCCCTCTCATCTTTGCTCACACAGAAGTCCTTCACCCACACCTCATCTTTTTATTCATTCCTGAAAAACCTCACTTTCCCTAAGTCCCATCTCTTTCCATCTCCTGCCCATACGTTGCAGATTCTTCATCCCCCTCTCCCAATTCTCACCAACTCCCTTTCCTGCCTTTTCAGAGGAACATGTGATCATTCAGGCTGAATTCTATCTGTCCCCGGATCAGAGAGGTGAATTTATGTTTGACTTTGATGGTGATGAAATTTTCCACGTGGATATGGACAAAAAGGAGACTGTCTGGCGGCTTAAAGAGTTTGGACAATTTGCCGGCTTTGAGGCACAGGGTGCACTGGCCAACATAGCTGTGGACAAAGCCAACCTGGAAATCATGATGAAGCGCTCCAACAACACTCCAGACACCAATGGTATCTCTCTCTCTCTACTGCACTCCTGGATATGGTAGATCTTAAGTAGATGCCCAGTTCTCTGTGTTACATTATCATGAAAGACTTTCTCCCTTAAGAGTCTAAACTCCCATAAGCAAGCTCCAAATTCTCACGCCACAGACCTAATTTTCTGGGTTTGTTCTTTGTCTGATGTGCTCACGTCACGTCTCTGTCATCCAGGGTCCCTAACAAAGACTTTGCCCTGAGTACATGATGGGGAGGGGGGCATGAATGAGGTATTTGAACATCTTATGCTTCAGTGTTCATGGGAGAAAGCATCAGAAATGGGTGTCTGAGAATGTGGCTTAGAATTCTTGGAGCAAAATTTCAATGACTTTTTCAGATTCTCAGAGCAAAATTTCAATGACTTTTTCAGTTTTAGAGTCTTCAGGTAGATTTTTACCACAGTTCAGTGTGGGAGGAGAGGATCACCCTAAGCAACGAAAACCAATTTCTGACTTGTGTCCCTCAGTCGCTCCAGAGGTGACCGTGCTCACGGATAAGCCTGTGGAGCTGGGAGAGCCCAACATCCTCATCTGTTTCATCGACAAGTTCTCTCCACCAGTGATCGATGTCACGTGGCTTAAAAATGGAAAGCCTGTCACCATGGGAAGATCAGAGACCATCTTCCTGCCCAGGGAAGACCACCTTTTCCGCAAGTTCCACTATCTCCCCTTTGTGCCCTCCACTGAGGACTTCTATGACTGTAAGGTTGAGCACTGGGGATTCGACAAGCCTGTTCTCACGCACTGGGGTACGAACCCTCTTTCAGTCTCCTTCATTTTAAGGTTTCTCCTTTAACGTTTATGTCTGGACCCTTGGGACCCAGACTGTGCTGACCGTTCCCTAACATCTGCTACAATTCACACACCCGTCTGCTCTCACCGCCCAGCTCCCTTTAGTTTCTAATTTGCTGTTCCCTCAACCCGTCATTCCATCTTCCTCCTCTTTAATGTATTAATAACTACCTTTTTGACCCTACATGTGGTCCTACCTACCACATTCGTCGTCACGATCGTTTCATTTTTTCCAGAGTTTGAAATGCAAACCCCGCTCCCAGAGACCACAGAGAATGTCGTGTGTGCCCTGGGCTTGGTTGTGGGCCTAGTGGGCATCATTGTCGGGACTGTCCTCATCATCAAGGGTGTGCGCAAAGGCAACGCTACAGAACGCCGAGGGCCTCTGTGAGGCACGTGGAGGTGGGTATGCACCATCAGAGGAAGACACGCATGGAGGTGTCTGAGGGAGGAAAACAGAGTGGGAGAAAGGACGTGGATATGCAATCCCTTAAAAGAGGAGGATAGAAAAAATTGTGACTCTTGATTTCTCTTTGTTAGAACAAATCATATATTGGCATCATGTGGTACCCAAAGTTTCAGAGTTCCTCATCCCTTTCCATAGATGTGTACCTAGACCACACCTTCTGTCTTGGAATTTCCTCCAGTACCTAAGGTGATTGTTTCCCATCATGGTACTAAGTCCAGTGGTCTAGGATAGTAAGCCGCAAGTTACAAGCATTCCTAAAAAAAATTCCTGAGGCAGACTGTCGGTTTAGAAGTATTTTTCAAGGCCTAATTCTTGCAGGGTTAGGAAAGCTTTGTATGAAAAGATATGTTTTAAAGGCTAATGTGTCTTTTTGCTCCTCCAGTCTGAAAATCGTTATGAGAAGTTCTAAAAAAAAGTTACAGCACAGTTGTGATTCATACTCAACTGAGGAGTGAGAGATATAGTCCATGTTAAAAGGTCATATTTATAAGACGTCAGATAAATAGTCTTTTGGCTTGTTCTTTTTAGACAGAGATTTTTTGCTATAGCATGTGTGCACTCAGAATAGTCTTTTGGCTTGTTTTTTTTAGACAGAGATTTTTTTGCTATAGCATGTGTGTACTCACTAGAAAGACAGAGAGTGAGAAATCACCCACCGGGGGATGGCCATGCTGTAATCCATTCTCCTCTCTGGATTTTGGGCATGCATGCACACATGCCCATCATGAGCTTCAAGCCACCAGGTCTAGGACTCGAACTATGGTTGGCCCTGTGGGGAGTCCAGTGATGTAACCATTATGCAGTATGCTGGCCCTGGTGTTTTGACTTTCTGAAGTCAAAGTATTCAAAAAGAAGAGGGGGTAATCCGAAAGAAAGACGTCCATCTTAAACTCTTTAGTAACTATGAGTCCTGCTACAGGTGCTGCCTTTCTCCGAGAGAAGATCAATGAAGAAATGATCAATGAAGAAATTCCCGCTGCACTATTACAAAGCTGACAGCCCTTCGAGTGAGAACAACCCTCATCTGCATTTCCCAGCCCTTTCACCACCCTTAGTGGAGAGGCTTTCCCCTGATCTCTCCAGGCTCTAACATCTCCTTGGACTTTCCTATCTGTTGCCTCTCTGGTATCTCTTGTCGCTCAATTTCCAATTATTTTATTATAACCATGAAATGCCTTTGGGGTAAGCCCCACAACTCTTTCTCAGCACTGGAACTTTCTGGGATCATCTCTTAGGTACTTATTGCTTAGGGTTCTTTACGCTGTGATTTTTGTTAATTCAATAAACTATTTTGATGGGTCTTGAGTGGTGTTTTCAATATGTAAGACAAGTCTATTTTTGGAGGGAGAGGGTGAGTTGGGGACTATCTGTGATCTTTCTGTTCTGAAATATCTGAATGCTGGTGTATCCTGTAAGTTCTGGAAATAATCAGAATTAATCAGGTTCATTAGGGTTTGTCCTCATTCTGAGCATCTGCAGGAGTTTTGTTGTTATAATCTAGTCTTCATTTGCAGAGAACCCTAGAGTGGGTTTGTTTCTCCCTGAGTTGTAGATTCAGACTCCATGTTTGGTTCTTGAGCCTCAAATCAATGACATGTCTGTATTTTTATTAGAGTGAATCTCAACCCTCAAGGATTGGCCTCTGACAATAAGTGACACAGATAAAGGGGATCAGAGGTGGTAAAGTGGGGAGCAGAATGAGAAGAGGTTCCACATGTGTTATCAGATTTGCATGTCGTCATCACACACCCCAGGCTTAATGAGGAATGAGGTTGTCCCTGAGGACTGGCTTTACCTGTCCTATTAGACGTGGTCTCAGGTGCCTGTTTCATTACCAAGACAACATCTGACATTCTGGAACCATCTTATATTTGGTGATGTGCCCTCGAATGGAAAACTGAGTAAAGAGAAGGGTCAGGATGTGTCATTAAACTAAGAGGAAAGGTAATAGGAACACAGTGAGCTATTTATTGCTAATTTGTCTTTGAAACTATGACTTGATACGTGTTTCTAATGTAGTTACCAGAACCTACCATAAAACATACAGACGGATTATCCACAAAAGTGTGGTAGACCGGCAAGTAAGTGCTGTTGGAACCGATTCTGGATTCCATGTGCGCTGTATCATTTACTAGCTGTGCACTTACTAGTGTGTCACTTACCTTGGCCGCAACTTCCTTTCACAAATACAGATGCTAAATTTTCATTAAATTGAGTCATTGTGAGAATTAACAGAAAAATGTAAGCAAAGTAATTAAATACCATGCTTAACGATAATAATATTGCAAAAGTTGTAAATTCTATTGTTCTCAACTTTTCTACAGCCTGACATTAAAACATCTAAAAGAAGCAAAACAGAATTAAACTAGAAACAAACCAACACAGCATGAACATATAAGTCTATAAAATAACAAATTTCTTCTACATACTGCTTAAAGAATCAGAGCAGAATCTTGAGAATAGAAGATTAGAATAGGCACAGGTGTTTCTTTCAGATATCTATAATTTTTATTATAAAATAAATAGATGTACAGTAAAGAATATGCTAAATCTCAGACAAGCATGGAAAAACAAAAAGTAAAGCTATATCTTTTCATGTAAATAAAACACTTTTTAGGGGCCGTAAGATGGCACAGCAGTTACTGGACTCCCACATGGCCAACCGCAGTTCAAATCCTGGACTCAGTGGCTTGAAAATCACACCATGTGTGTGTTTGTGCAGGCCCAAGACCCCAGGAGGAGAAAGAAAAATAGATTGTGGCACGGCCATCTCCCTAGGGGGGTGATTTCTCACTTTCCCTCTCACTGTGTCTATCTGTCTGTCTCTCTGCGAGTGCAAGGACCCCAAGGCTTAAAAAAAAAAAAAAAAAGCTTAAAAATAAACTCTATTTTTTAAGCAGTTTTAATTTTCCAGAATATTGAAGAAAAAAGTACAATAAGTTCCCATAAGCCCTTTCCCTGCAAATCCCTACTGCCCAGTTTTCCTTATTACTAACATCCTGCATTAGTGTGGTACATTTGTTATGGCTGATGATCCAATACTGATACTTACTATTAGCTAAAGTTCATAGTTGCTTTAGGGGTCACTCTGGAGTATATAATTCTATGGGTTCTGCCAAATACAAAATGTCATATATCAATAGATACACTGACCTAAAAGTGCCCTGGAATGCTGGCTAGTATGGTAGGGATATGTTTATCTTCATAAGAAATTGCCAGGGTGTCTTCCAAAGTAGCTATAACATTTTGTATTCCCACCAGCACTGAATGAGTCTCCGTTGTTCTACATCCTTGATCCTTGCCAACATTTAGTGTTTGAAGATTTTAGATTTCAGTCAGAAAACCACTCCCCCCGCCCCCTTGGAGAGTACATGCACTTGCCAGAAAGACTCAAAGAGACAGAGCCAGGGGGAGAGACCATATACCCCCTCCCCATGGTAAATGGCCACCCTGCAATCTCTTCACTTCTCTCTCATTGGGATTCTAGGCATGCATGCACAAGTGCCTGATGTTTTTCTCAAGCTGCCAGGTCCAAGACCCACCATACAAATGACCATATGAAACCCAGCTGCCTTAATTACCCGCTATACAGCCAGATGCAGAAGGCCACTTTTAAAAAATGTTTTACTTTCAAAGAATTATTGATTCTCAGGAAATCACAGACAGGACAGAGATTCTGCATGCCCCTTCACCCCTCTTCTCCAGATGTTTGTACCTTAAGTAACTGTACCACAATACAAAGCCAGGAAACCACCTTTGGTACACGTGTGTATAGCTCTATGCCCAGGACTTACACATGTGCAGATCCGTGTAACCACCACCGTGATCAGGTGCAGAGCTACCCCATTACCACAGAGGTTTCCCTGTGCTGCCTTTTATAGTCACAAACCCCTCCCTCTCCACACCATTACCCCAACACCTGACGATCCCTAATGGCTTCCCCATCTCTACAACTGTGTCCTTCTGAGAATGTGAGATAAACAAAATCTAAAGTATGTCTCTTTCTGAGATGGCATTTTTCATTCAGCATAATATCCTTGAGATCCATCCAGGCTATGGCCTTCATTCTGTTTTATTGCTGAAAAGAATCCATAGTATGGATGTGCCATAGTTTGTTGAACTATTTGCCTGTTGAATGAAATTTTAATTCTTATGACATTAGGGCTATTATGAATAAAACTGCTAAGAAATTTGTCTAAGGCTTTTTTTTAATGTAAACATGAGTTTTCATTTCTCTGATATAAATATCCTAGAATGTCATTTCTGGATCATGTGGTAAACGTATTTTTTTAAAGAAATTCCAAGCAAAATAGGGACGATGTACCATTTTACGTTTTCACAATCAATGTGAAAGATTTATTTATTTTGCATTTTCACCAACTCCTGGCATTGCCAGTACTTTGTCTTTTCTGGCTGTTTTACTGTGTAGTGATATCTCGTGTTCTTAATGTGCATTTCCCTAAGGCTCAACAATGTCGAACATCATGCCATGTGCTCACAGGCCATCTGATGAAATGTCTCCATGTGACATTTGCTCATTTAGTAACTACCTTCTTTGGAGGTAGTTATAAAATGTGGAGTTTTGGCAGCTCTTTTATTTTTTTCCATTTATTTAATTTTTTTTCCCATTTCATTTTCTTCCATACAGTCAATCACATTAGTATTTGGCTTAGAAAATGGATATTTCAACAGGTGAACATTTCTCCCTAGTGCTGTTGATAAAACTACAACATATCTTCAACAGATAATACCACTCCTCTTTGTGCCATTAATGCTCTGCCTCCCTGTCCCTCCCCCAAGTGTCCTTCCTCAGACCCTATTCCTGTCCTTTGTGATACATGTGGTTTGCAAATATTTTCTCCCTATTTGTAGCTCATGTTTTTAATTTTTTTACTTAAGTTCTTTTATCTCTTTCATGACAGTGAGTGACAGAGAGAGAAAATGGCAGAGCAATAAGCACCATCAGGGCCTCACACTGAGCCCCTCCCAGCCTTCCCAGGCAGTCAGAACATGGGTGTGCACCTGGGTGTTCGCCCTGGGCTGGGGAGCCTCATTCATGGCCTCCCATAGGGTACAACTTTTCTTGAGTAGCAGGTTACTGTTGAATCACGTAGCTAGCCCTTTTACTATCATTATTATTTCTTAACAAAATATTTTGCAGAACACCTATAGCAAAAAACCTCTCCAAAAAAAATTTTTTTTTGCTTTTTTTATTATACTTAAAATCTCTTCACCTGGCCCTGGTTTCTAAATATTTTCTATGTTTTGTTACATTTGCATGTAAGCCTATGATCTATTTGGAGTATTTCTTGGTATAAGATGTGAGAATTGTGTAGTTTCTTTTTCTTTTCTTTATCCCTCTATAAATAGCCACTTCCTTCATAGCTTAAAGAGATTCTCCCCCACTGAATTGCTTTGCACCTTTGTCAAAACATGAGTGGATGTAGATCTGTTCCTGGAGAGTCTCTATACTGCTCCATGAGTCTGTGTGCCTAGACCTCCACAAATGTCAGTCTTTATGAATATTGCTTATAAGATTCTTAATTTTTATAAGAATGACCCACAGTTTATTAAATTATTTTATCCAGTCAGTTCCCTGCTTTTTTATATAAATGTTAGAACAACTTTGTGTGCACCTGTTAGAAATGTTGCTGAGATTTAGATAGAAATTACACAAAACCTGGATATCAATTTGAGGAGAACTGCCATCTTTACCATCTTTCCAGTTGATGAACACAGCAAGTCTCTCTGTTTATTTAGGTCACTGATTTCTTTCTTTCTTTTTTTTTTTTTATTTGGAGAGGTTTTTTTGCTATAGGGCTTGTGCGCTCCCCAGACAGACAGAGAGACAGAAAGCGAGAATTCACCCCCCAGTGGAGATGGCCACGCCACAATCCCTTCTCCTCGTTCTCCTCTCAGGATCTTGGGCACGCACACACACACGCCCAGCGTGAATTTTAAGCCACCGGGTCCGGGATGCGAACCGCCGTCGACTACATGGGAGTCCAGCGCCATAGTCATTACGCTAACTGCTGGTCCCCTCTGATTTCTTTCATCAGCATTTCAGCATATCGCTCCTGCACTTTGTTCTGTTAGAGGTACACTTAAGTGCTTCTTTTTCTCTTTTGAGTGATTATAAATGGTATTGTATTTTTAATTTTAACTTTTAGTTTTTCATTGCCATATAAAGAAATAAATATGACCTGTATGTTCATCAGAGAAAGAGAAAAAGAGAATGAAAGTGAAAAAGTAACCCCAAGGGGGGTGTGCACTCTGTAGACCCTTCTCCATTCTCTCCTTGGGGTTTTGGGTACCCATGCATACAGGCCCAGTGTAGTTTCCAAGTCACAGGGTCCAGGACTCCAACAGAGAAGGCAGCCATGTGAGATCCAGACCTGGCAGCTTGCTTTCTCACTTTTTCATCTGCTGGCCTGAAATTGACTTTAGTTTTTTGTTTGTTTTTTTTTTTTTTAAATTCTGCAACCTTTATGAACTCCTTTATTAGTTGGAGCAAAGGAGGAAAAACATTTATTCAGTCATTTCACCATTAAGTATGAATTTAGCTGTAAGATTTTTATAGAAGTTATTTATCAAGCTGAAGAAATTTTCTTCTAGTTCTGCTTTTCTGAGGGGTTTTATTATAAATAAATATTGAATTTCATCCATTTCCTTTCTGCTTCAGTTAACATGATCATGTTATTTTTCTTCATTAATTTAATATAATAGATTTTTTTTAATTTGCCAGAGGGCATGCACGCTCACCAGAGAGAGACAGAGAAAGAAGGTGAGAAAGGATCCTCATTGGTGCTGGCCATGCCATAATCCCATCTCCACTTTCTCCTTTCAGGATTTTGGGCACACGTGCACATGCACCCACAGTGTGAGCACCCAGAGTGTTTTCCAAGCCACTGGAGCCAGTACGTCATTTTACAGTTGGCCATATGGAATCCAGCCACCTTAACCACCATGCTACCGGATGACCCTTTTTTCTAGATTTTACTGTTATTTGTGCCTTTTTTCTTCTATAGTGGATACATTTAGTTCTATAAGTATTTTTTTCTAAGCACTGCTTTCATGTGTCCCACAATTTTTGAAATGCATCTTCACTTTTTACATAGTTGAATAGATATATTTTCCCCTTTAAGACAGCCTTTTTGACACATGAATTACTTAGATATTGTTTAGTTTCTGAGTGTTTAGGATAGGACTGGTTATCTTTATGTTATCAGTTTCTCATTTAATTCTCTGTGTCCAGTCAACAGTCTGAACAATTTAAATTCTTTAATGTTTTTGAGGTCTATTTTTTGCCTTAGCATATGGTATATCTTGGTAAAGATTTTAAGGACACTTCAAAAAACCATATTCTGCTCGTTTGGTGAAGTGCTATGTGTCTGTTGACAGGCCATGTGTGATAGAGGGGAGAGCTATAAAGTTCCAGGGTTATTGGCATGTCACTGGCTGACTGCACTGAACAACCCTGGAATGCCTACCTTGAATCTATCAACTATGTGAGATAAAAAGTTAGAGAAAAACAAAACAATTGAGATTAGATTTCCTGACACCAGCTACAGAAGCATCTTTATTGAAGTACTCATGACACGTATGATTTTTTTAAGGAGGTTTTTGCCTTAGGACATGTGTGCTTGCAGATTGAAAGACAGTGAGACAGAAAGTGAAAAATCCGCCCCCAGGAGGGATGACCATGCTGCAACTCCTCTCCTCCATTCTCCTCTTGGGATCTTGGACACATATGAACAATGCACCCAGTGTTATTTTCAAGCCACCAGGTCCAGGACTTGAAGCATGTGGGAGTCCAGCAACATAACCACTATGCCACTTGCTGGCCCCAACATGTATGTTTTTGTTTTAATTTCCCAGATGGCACATGCACTTGCCAGAGAGGGACACAGAAAAAGAGAGAGAGAAAGAGAGAGAGAGAGAGAGAGAAAGAGAGAAACAGGGGAGTAAAGTAACAAAGCAAGCCCCCATGAAGTATGGTCACTCCAAAATACTTTTTCCTCCTTCTCCACCTTCTTTCAAAATTTTGGGCAAATGTACAAATATGGTTAGTATAGTTTTCATGCCACCGGGTCTAGGGCTCAATCCACACTGTCAGCCATTTGGGATCCACCTGCTTTAACCACCAGACCACAGGTCTCAAAATAAGATGAATAATTTCTTTATCACAGGGAATGAAGCAAGAGTAAAGCTGCTATCCAGGGACCACACAAAGCAGACATGACTCTCAGCTTACTAAATTCCTAGAGCATCACCAGCTTTGCACAAATAATACATAATATAATTTAAAATAATGTATGCATTAAATGAAGTTTAAATTTACTTGAAAATAACAGTTGTATCAAATTGGAGACATTGTGCTCAAATAGCTTTTAATTTCAAAAAGTTTCCAAATTTCTTTACGTTTGATTGACATTTAAAACTGACTCTTCAGATGGAACACAACTGTGGGACCCTCCATCTTCCTAATGAATGTAGTCGCCTTTCTCTTAGATCTGTCCAACTCACTTAGCAGCACACTACTGAAGTCTATGGAATTTAGAATATTGTATCAATTTACAATTATATTTACACAGTACATTAGGCAAGAAACAAAGAAAAAATTTTGTCTTTTCTATCTTGTTACTCAACATATATTTTTGTTAACTTTGTTTCAATTGTTACAATTGTGTTCCCCTTTTGAGGTGTTGTCTTTTAAACTTTTAATTTTAATTTTAGTTTTTTTAATTTACAAATCAAAATTGTATCCATTTATGGTGTACAGCATGATGAACTGATACATGTACACACTGTGCAATGGAAAATCAAGCTTTTTGTTTGCTTGGTTGGTTGGTTGGTTGTTTTGAGAGGTTTTTGCTATAGGGCGCGTGTGCTCACCACAAAAACAGAGAGAGATAGAGAGTCAAAAAGTGAGAAATCACCCCCCCCAGGGGGGTGGTCACTGCACAATCCCCTCTCCTCCATTCTCCTCCCAGAGTCAGTTTAAGCCACCAGGTTCGAGACTCGAACTACAGTCAACTACAGAGTCCAGCAACATAGCCATTACGCCAACTGCTAGTCCCTAAATGAAGCTGTTTAACATACACCTCATATACTTACATAAATAAATGAAAACCAGCATCATATTGTGATGTAATTCTCCATGTCTTTTTTGTATATTTTTGTCATGTGAATCAGTAATTTATCACTCCATGTTTATTTGAGAAACATTTAATAAAGTCATGTGGCATATGGTGACTTCAGATGCACAGGAGGCAGGAAGGGTTCAGCACAAAGGGGACCAGCAAAGAGTGAAGATGAGGTTTGGAAATCAGCAGTGGAATTTGCAGGCCAAGGGCAGGGGCTGAGGAAGGCATTAGGAAGAAAATTTTCTGCAAGACCACTAAACCAGGGACAAACCAGATCCTCAGAACCCACTCTCTATGTGAAAGAACAAGAAAAGCAGGAAATCTTTTCATTCTTTAAAGCTGAGACAGAAGCTTCTTCCTTGAGCATCCTCACCATCACTTCAGCTCAGGAGTCCTGCAAAACAGAGAGTGTTTTTCAGACCTAACTCTACAACAGCGTCTTTTCCTCTCTCAGGGCCTGGTGTGGTAAGACTGCTGCAGAAGAAACACGCATTTCTTAAGTCTCTCTCTGAGCCAGTCCTACTTCAGAGCACAGGCCTCTTAAACAGTGGAGAGAAGAAGGTGGATTAAAAGCAACCTGATCAAAAATTCCAATCCAAAGTCTTTCCATTATTGCTGTCTCGTATCAGGTCTACAGGGAACTGAATATGTCTCTAAAAGGGAATTAAAAGGCATTACCTGTTGGCTGAAGGTCTGAGTGTCCTGGGAAAGAGATGGAAAGACATATATGTAAAAGGCAAAGTTGTGCCCATAAGGAATGTCCTCAGCCCCAGGTCTCCCACCTGAGATTTCTCGAACACACCAACCTTAGCCGGGGCAGAGGGAAGCAGACATGGAAGTATAAGACCTTCCAAGTTTCACAGGGATTCAGGGCACTGTGACTACCCTAGTGGCTGTTCCTTCACTGGCCCAGGGTGTCTAACTAAGATCTCTGTGCTGGTTAACCCCTCTTCTGTCCCTGTAGGCCATAACCTCTGTGCTGCTTACCATGGTAGCATGGACTGTTGATTTCTGAAATTCCAGGAAATCTCAGTCAGTTAGAGAAAGAAAGGCTAATACAGGGCCACTGATACACTGAGAACCGACTTTACCAAAGCTATTGTTTCTTCCTTCAGGAAAATCTAGAGAAGTCTCAGCTAACAAACAGTCTTTACCTTTCTGATTCCTGAAGTGGATGAATGGCCCCACCCCAAGGAAAAGCAGGCCCAGAACAGAGCCCCCAATTCCACTCAGCATCTTGCCCCGTGCAGATTCAGATTGTGCCTCTGGGAAAAAAAAAATCAACTTCAGTTATTTTTATTCTAAATGCAACTTTTCTAATAGAAACTCAGATTCAGAGCTTTGAGAATGGGGGAAGAAGTCTGCCCTGGAAGAATTAGAATAATTGGCCATCCCTGAAAAAGAGATTCAAAAATCAACTGAGTAGCTACAAGGTTCAGGCACTGACCACATTTAAATTTCACAGCCCTGACAGAAGGCATGACTTCAATATTTGAGGAATAAAAATCCGGGAACTCAGTGAGGTCAAGGAGCTTCTCTAGGATGACAGAGCTAGTGAGAGGAGAGCTGAGAGCAGACTCCCCACTTAACGGGAAGCCCCTGCGCTGCTCCTCTTCTCAGACCACAGTGCACAGCTCAGAGCAGCAGCCCCAGAGGGAGGCTGGAGCCATGGCCTAGGGCGTGACCATGCCTGTGGTATCATGGGAAGGTTCAAGACAGGAAGAAGCTCTCTTCTACTTGCCAGGACCAATTGCTTCCCCAGGGGTACAAGAGTTTTGTAGAAACCATCACAGGTGAGAAATTGTCTTCATTTTGTTCATAGTCTGAAACTGTTACTCACTGTTCAATCAAAATGTTTACAAAACTTTACAAAGGAAAGTGCATGAATTACCAGAGAGATTTCTGAAACTAGTGTACCTGGTCCAAATATAGGCTCTGCCTCTTACTGGTTGATCCTAGAAGAGTCTAAATTTCTCTTTGCCTCAATTTCTCACATATAATACAGGACATAATACTTCATGGCTACTCCCATGAAGCAGGAAATCTTGTCATTCTCCAAAGTTGTGATGAGGGAGAGGAGAAACACAGACCAGATAAAGAAAATAAGGTGTCAGAAGAAGACCCTGACTCGGGATAAGCAAAGTCCCCCTCTTGCTGGGTGGGGGATTTATGAAGTCAGGAACCTTCTCACTCCATTCCACCCTGACAGGGTCCGTCAGGCTTGGGTGTTCCACTTGGCAAGTGTAAACCTCTCCACTCTGAGGAACTGTTTCCAGCATCACCAGGATCTGGAAGGTCCAGTCTCCATTACGGATCAGGCCTGTGGAGACAACCCCAGCCTTCTCTTCCTGGCCATTCCGGAACCATCTGACTTCAACGTTGCCTGGGTAGAAACCGTTCACAGAGCAGACCAGGAGGCTGTGGTGCTGCAGGGGCTGGGTCCTTGTAGGATACACGGTCACCTTGGGCTGAGCTAGGAGAGAAGAGGGGAGAGGGTAAGTGAGGACGACAGAGCAATCTGCTTGTCTGTCTTTCTGCCCCTCTACTAACCAGGCTCCAGTCTCAGGTCTCCATTAAAGCGGAATATGTGACCTAACAGTATCTGTCATGATCTTTAAGTGTATTCTTACAGCAGGGACCCAGAAGATTTCAGAGACATTGAGAAAAATTGTCTTCAGTTTTTTCATAGAAGTGAAGTGTTATTCACTGTTCAGTCAAACGTTTACAAACCTTTGCAAAGCAAAGTGTATGAGGTAACAGAGTGATTTCCGGAGCTAGTGTGCCTGGTTCAGATATAGGCTCTGCCTCTTACTGGTTGATCTGGAAGAGTTTCAATTGCCCTTTTCCTCCATTTCTCACTATAATACAGGACATAATACTGATATACTTCTCAGGCTTATAAGAGAACTAATGTTTCTAAAATATGTAAAATAATGTCTGGATTTAGCTTTCCATTCATATTAGCTATTTACTATCCTTGTTTACCCTGACAGATAACATGATTCAGACTAGTCAGGGTGGTACATATTTATAATCCCTGCAGGAGGATAGCAAGTTTAAGACCTGCCTACGCAACATAGGAGACTCTGGCACACACAAAAATAAATAAATAAAATAAAAGAAGAAAGAAAAAAAAAGCAAGAGAAAAGAAAAACAAACAAACAAAGCCAGCATGATTCAAAACAAAAAGCAATATGATAGACTCAGGATAGTCGGGTAGACAAGAAGACAGAGTCTGAAATCCACAGAGTGCTGAGAGTCCTCACTCCCACCTTAGAACACCACGTGACTGGCTCTTCCTGGGAAGGAGACACAGACAGAGGTGGTTCTCTCTCTGAGCTGAATCTGAGAAAAGCATGAGTCCTGGAGGAGAGAGAAAGGATCAATGAAAGTCATTCATTTAAAAAAGTTTTTACATTCAACTGATCAATCCACCTCCTTTCCAAGCTAGCATCACTGTTATTAGAACTATCGTTTTATAACTGTTGCTCTTTCCAGACTGACATTTGGGACAGGGCAGGGTCTAGGACTCATTAGTATGTGCTTAATACCTGGGACAGTCCCTGACATGGACCGACCTCAATAAGTACAATTATCTTAAGAGAAAGGAGAAACCTGGAGACAACATTTATATGATACTACAAAATGGTATCCTAAATCATTACCAAAAATTTTGCAATATTTTATTAATTAATATGTTCATATTCTTAACATAGAAAATAATTTTAAAAATCAAAATACAAACCACAAACTGGAGAAAATGTTGAATCAAATATCAATAAACAGCTAATCATCTTATTGTATAAAGAACCCATAAAATCATTTTTAAAAATAGGACTCCAGAGGTAACAGACAATAGGTAATTGTCTATTATATACATAATATAATAGATGATTCCTGAAACAATAATTATAATTGGCCAGAAAACATGTGAAAAATGTTCAGGACCCTCAAAAATGAAAGCAATGTAAGCTTAAAAAGTGATATAAATTTCACCTATTTGTCAATATCGCAAAAAGGAGCAACAAAGAAGATGTGAGGCAAGTTGTGTTACACCTGTCTGAGGACAAGATATGACTACTTAAGTACTATTAGCACTACTGTAAAGATACACCAGATGGGGCCAGCAGGTGTCTTGGTGGTTGAGCCTCTGGACTACCACATGGTCCACCATGGTTCAAGTCCTAACCTGGCAGCTTGCTTTCTCACTTTCTCTCTCTCTCCCCCTCTGTGTCTCTCTCTGGTCAGATTTAAAAATAACATTAAGAAATATAATTTAATAAGCATTTTTAAAAATCAGTGACAGAAAGTGTGCAAAATTTTATTTCTTTTAATTAATTAATTAATTTTTATTAATTAATTTTTCTTTTTTTAACATTAATACACTATATATCATTACAGTGCACAAAATGAATTTTTCATCCAAAATACACTGTCTGTTGGTTCAGTCAAGCACATCAACATACATGTTATCAACAAATAATTTTCCATTTCTTATGTCTT